AATTGGTTTTTGTTTATTTTAGTTTAGTTTTGAAATTATGAAGCTAACTTATTATAAAAATCAATGCATTGAATATATATATACAAAATATTTTTATATTGAATATTGTATATATTTTTTAATTATACAATATTATAAATGATTCAATAACATAATTTTCTAAATATTAAAAAACTAAATTTTTTTTTTTTAATATTTATGTTGGTCAACGCCGGTCAAACTGGTCAATGCCGGATTCCGGCGAAAAGTGTACCGGAAAAAAATGTTCGTGATGTTGGCGACATGACTACATATAGTTCGTATATGTGGGCATGCGATACATATAGTTCATATAGTTTAGGATCCATTATTAAACTTTGCATGTGTGGCCATGTCTTTGCGGATACTTCGTGTAGCCAGCCATCTTTTTTCCTAAAGATAATGAGAAAGCTTTGTCGTTTCGTTTATTGATTCAAGAAAGCTGGACCACTGGCCCAAAACAGTTCAAAGAATTCACGCTATGAATTTGATATTATTTTCTGATGGGTAAAATATTAGAGAATTTATAGTAACTAGCCATGGATTAAAAAGAATTAAGAAAATAGCCATGAGCTACTGTACTTTGTCTGTTGGATGTCGGAAAGCACGTGTAATTACACACATGCCCTTTATAACATGTTTTTTTTCTCGAATTACATGTGATAGAATAATATATCCCTTTTTATCATATTATTTTCCGGTATTACACGTTATTTATAAAGAGCACATGATATTTTTTTGAAAAAACACTCTATTCAGTTTAATATCTTTCTCTATCATGTTATTTTATAGTATTATACGTTTTTTATTATGATCACATGTGATTTTCTTTAAAAAAAATTCTTATTTTCTAGTAATTCACGGTTTTTATTAAGATCACATGTTATTTCTTTGAAAAACACTCTATTCAGTTTAATATCTTTCGCTATCATGTTATTTTGTAGTAATACACGTTTTTTTTTATTATGATCACATGTAATTTCTTTAAAAAACGATTCTTATTTTCTAGTAATTCACGGTTTTTATTAAGATCACATGTTATTTCTTTATAAAAAGATTCTATTCAAGTTTAATTTTTTCGTAACAATGATTTTAAAAAAAAAAACACTACGTAACAATGTTTTTTCTTAAAAATTCACTACCTTTTTTTAAATAGCATGTATTTTAGGTAAATATAACATGTGAAATTTAGATCTTACGTGCTATTTTGAAAAATATCACGAAACAATGTCGCCTACTATAGATCTCAAAACAAACGGAGGATGGTTTTGTTAATTCACCTCTTCAGACAAGGTGGGACAAGGTGGGTCTATGCTGTTTTCCGACAGAATTTTTTCTCTCTGCTAGTTTCTTAATTTATGTGTCAAATTTGGCTAGTTAATAATATTACCCAAAAATATTACTACTAAATTGAAATAATGAATGCAATAATGTGTTTGTTTAAAAAAAAATGAAATAATGCGAAACGATATGTGGGCCACAAGAAACGGAGACTGAATTGTCAGTACGCGCAGACACATAGCTTTCTTTTCCAGTTAAACACTTCAAAAGTATCATTCCAACTTTCCATCTATATTAACAATACTTTTCTATCTATATCCCTAATTTGTTTTTCTTTTTTTCCTATATGTATATACCTTTCTTTTTTCTTATATTTATAATTGATTAATACTGTATAAGTGTATATGATACTTATATATAACTATTTTTTTTGTATATTCGAACCGACTAAGTCGTTTGAAATTGAATCAATCTTGATTCAATCGATAAAAAAATCTTGACGAAAATGATTTATCTAGTAATTTAATATAAAAATTGAAAATATAAATAAATGTATCACTTTGACTTGAACTTTTGGGAATATACCTTCTAAAGTGAAAATTTACTTTTTTCGAAAATGAAAATTTTATATTTACCAAAATATTTCAAACTTCCTATAGTTTAATCTTAAAATTAAAACCAATGAAAGACTCAAATCAGCATTACATGGATAAGATTTGTCCAATGTAATAGTTAGGCAAAAAAAAAGAATTCAATCCAAGTATCCAACGAGAGTCATCGATCTTATATTATACAGATATAGGATAAGACAAAACAAATTTCTTATAAAAGGCATTGAAAAAAAGGAAAGTATAAAAATTAATAAATTTCTATATAAAATCATACATACAATTAGAAAGAAAAGCGGGGTCCGCACTCAACGCCATTATGATGACATCATCACATAACCACACAAAAAAAATACTAAAAACTTGAGTACTCTCTACGTTTCCTCGATTCTATATAAACCCTTCACATATCTCTTCTTCTTCTTACTGTTCTCTAATCCAATTCTAATTCTTCATAAACCCTAACTTTACCAAAATCCCTTTTTTTTTTAATCTTAAAAACATCTGATTTCTTGAAAATGTTGGAGGAATTCGATGAATCTGAGATTATTTTCTCTGATAGTTACTATCCAGTTCGCCGGCGGGAAGACGGGAACGAGAAAGAGAATCGTCCGGTGGGTTTCCGGGAAAACTCTGAGAGATTGAGGAACAAGTCATCGAAACGGACTAAAACGACGTCGTTGCCTACAGCGGGGACGGCGTTTTCGAGTTCGCTTCCGGTGAATATACCGATGCGGAGGTATTCAACGGAGGAGGAGTATTCCGATGACGACGGAGGAAGGAGAATGATTCCGCCGCATTTGATAGTTGGACGGAGGATTGAAGGAGGTCAAATGGCGTTTTCCGTTTGTACAGGTAACGGAAGAACTCTTAAAGGACGAGATCTGAGCCGGGTTCGTAATTCGGTTCTCAGGTTAACCGGTTTTTTGGAAGCTTGAATTTGGATTGGACCGGACTTTTATTAATTTTTTTGTTTGTTTTTAGTGGAAGAAGTAATCAGCGGTTCTCGTAATTGTTTTTTAGTTTGATTTTTAATTGAATGTCAAAGGAAAATGTCAAAAAAAAAAAGAACATTTATTTCCTTGTTTATTCTTGATTTTGATTCTCTTAATTGTAATAGAAAAAAGAAGAAAATAATATCAAGTTTTACTTTTGATCTAATTTTTCTTCATCAACACTTCTTTTGCGCTGACGAAATTGATTAAATTTGTTCTAAGAAAATGAGTTTTATGAATGTATTATGAAGATCTCTATTATTTTTTCTCTAATGAAGAAGATGAGGACAAAAGACGAACAGAAACAGCTGTTCTGTTGTAATTGATCATGAGAGAAAGCAAGAAATAGACATTTCTGGCCGGTGACATCAACGCGAAAAAATGCTTTATTTTATTTGACTCGAATTAGACATAAGTTTTTTTTATGAATTTTGAAGATTCTAGACCAAATACCAGCCTCATTTTTAGAATTTATGAAATTCTAAGTGTTCTTGACGTCTAAAACTATAATTGAAAATGGTGAATGGATTTGAACTCTAGTTTAACCGATATAAAACGAAATGGTCAAGTAAATTTATCTCGTTTTGAAGATATTAAATTACCCAAGGGTCTACCTAGTTATATCAGACTAGTTCTTCTATATAGTTTAATAAGCAAACCCAATAGTAAAATAAAAACTTGATAGTCGAACAAAAACAACTTGATAAATACTTCTAGTATTAAACTCCGATGATCGGAGGTTCAAGATCGGAGAGAGAGGTTTATCATAACAGAAGAAACAAACTTTATTAATCTCATCAAAAGTATTGTTACAAAGCTTAATCAGAAATGTAATCATAGTTGCGCTTATATACATATAATTACTAAAGATATTAAACCGAAATCTGGTTAACTTAAACCCGAGATAACCAGTATACTCAATACACCCCCCTCAAGTCTATATCATCAAAGTGTCTGGTTTGTATGATATAGGCTTGACAAAGACATTTGTTGAAGTAAACTGTGGAAAGGACCCGGATGCAGAGGCTTGGTAAGAATGTCAGGATGTTGATTACCTGTTGGAACATGCAAAGCCTTGAGTTTTCCTGCTTTAATTTGATCTCTAACCGTGTGACAATCAATCTCAATGTGTTTCGTACGTTCATGAAACACCGGGTTCAAAGAGATGTGCAATGCGGACTTATTGTCACAAAACAACTTAGCTGGACAAGTCATTGTAACATGAAGATCTTTGAGAAGTTGTTGCAACCAAATAAGTTCACATGTAGCCTGAGCCATACTGCGATATTCAGACTCTGTACTACTCCGACTAGCCACTGCCTGCTTCTTTGATTTCCAAGAAACCAGAGATATACCAAGATAAACACAGAATCCTGAAACTGATCTTCTTGTGTCTTTACATGCAGCCCAATCAGCATCAGAAAAAGCATTTAAGCATAATTCTGTATCAGCAGAGTACATTAAACCTTGTCCAGGATTGGATTTAATGTACCTTAAGACTTTATGTGCTGCTTGAAGATGAATGTCTGATGGCGCTGAAATAAACTGACTCAATTGGTGCACCGCAAAAGTGATATCCGGTCTTGTGATGGTTAGATATAGCAATCTACCAATAAGTTCTCTATATGATGTAGGATTAGGCAGAGGTGTACCCATGTCTTTGACCAGATGTAAGTTTGGATCCATAGGAATAGAACTTGGTTTGCATCCAAGTAAACATGCATCCTCTAGCAAATTCTGAGCATATTTTCTCTGACAAACAGAGATTCCCTTTGATGATCTTGAAATTTCCAATCCTAGAAAGAATCTAGCAGGACCAAGGTCTTTAATCTTGAACTCTGACCTCAATAAGTCTTTCAACTGTTCTACTGCAATCTCATCATTATTGGCAATCATTATATCATCAACATACACAAGCACCGCAATAAAAGAGCCAGAATCAACCTTGACAAACAAAGTATTGTCAGCAGGTGATTGAATGAAGTTTGCTCCCAATAACACAGAGGAAAATCTCTTATACCACTGACGGGAAGCCTGTTTTAAACCATAAAGAGATTTAAGAAGTCGACAAACCGGATTAGGAGGCAAACTTGTATTCGGAGGTGGAGTGTAGCCCTGAGGAAGACTCATGAAGATTTCTTCATCTAATTCTCCATGAAGAAAAGTATTTGATACATCCATTTGTGTTAAGATCCATCCTTTAGCAGAAGCAAGAGCAAGCATCAATTTCACACTAGCAAGCTTTGCAACTGGAGAGAATGTATCCAAATAATCAATGCCTTCTTGTTGTGTAAATCCTTGAGCTACTAATCTCGCCTTGTACCTTTCTACAGTACCATCAGGGTTGTACTTGATCGTAAACACCCATTTACAACCTACAACATTCTTACCCGGAGGTAAGGTTTCAATATTCCAGGTCTTGTTAAGCTCAAGAGCATGGAGCTCTTAATTTGCAGCTTTAGTCCACTTCTCCGATTTCATGGCTTGTGTGAAATTCTTTGGTTCTGTTTCCACACTATAAGCACAAATATAAGACTGGAAAAGAGGAGTATATCGATCATAAGAGATAACCGATGATATAGGATATGGTGTAGTCTTTTTAGGTGATGGTAGTGATATAATAGGAATATCTGGAGAAGAAGATTGTGTAGGTAGTACTGATATAGATGATGGTAATGATAAAGAAGATGATTGTTTGGAAGAAGTAGGTGGTAAGGTAGAACAAAATGGCACAAAAGAACAATGATACTCAGAAAGATAGCTAGGAGCTTTAGTAATACGTTTAGACCTAGCAAAAGGAACAGTATTAAGGCCTGTATCAGTGTTCTCTGTGTTATTAGTAGGAATGATGGTACTAGGTGGTAATGTAGATGCAGATGAATTTGATGCAGATGCAGATGCAGGAGCAGTAGAATGAACCAGAGATTCTCCATCAGTTAAAGGCATTGTTTCAACAAAATGTAAAGGAAAAGGTAATGGTAAAATAGTATTTGGAAACATATCAACAGCTTTGGATAAAAGTTCTGAAGTTCTGTCAACAACAGAGTTCTGTTGAGGAGTATAAGCACAAGAAAAGTAATGTATCATGCCTTTTTCTTTTATTAAATCTGTAAATGCCAGTTCTGGTGCATTATCTGATCTTATAGCCTTGATTTTTGCATTAAACTGTGTTAAAATAAGCTGTATAAAAGTAGGGAAAACAGTAGAAACATCCTTTTTATTACGCAACATATAGATCCAAGTTGTTCTAGTACAATCATCAACCAAAGTGAGAAAATATCTAAAGCCTTCTACAGATTCAACACTAAAAGGACCCCAAATGTCTAAATGAACAAGATCAAAAGGATTTAAAGCTAGATTATTATGAGACACATATGCTAATCTTCTCTGTTTAGCTAAAGGACAGATAGAACAAGATGAAACATCAGATTGAAAAGATTTTAAAGATGGAATGAAACTAACAAGTTTTTGTAAAACAGTAGATGAAGGATGCCCTAAATGTTGGTGCCAAAGATGTCCATCAGCATGCACAGAACCAGAGAAAGAACACACTGCAGGTTTTAATGTAGAGAGGGATGATTTCTCTGTTTCCAGAATGTATAAATTATGATAGAGTCTACCCCTCCCAATCATCAAGCTCTGAGAAAGTTCCTGAATGAAACAGCAAGAATCATAAAAATGAGCAGAACAAGACAAATGTTTAACCAATGAACTCACACTTATCAAGTTGAATTTAAAATCAGGAACATGTAAAACATTATGCAAAATCAATGTATGAGAAATATGAACAGTGCCAGTATGAGTAATAGAAACTCTAGTACCATTTGGTAATGTAACAGTAACACCAGATACAGGCTTTAATTCTCTAAACATTGCTAGATCAGAACATACATGACTAGAAGCTCCACTATCTATATTCCAAGCATCATAAGGTAGAAATTTTTGTAAAGAAGAAAGAATATGATTTTGGAATGTGAGATTATTATTCTCATATTTAAGACTAGTAGAAGGAAAAGGAATTTCAGTACCAGAAGTAGAAGTGTGTGCCATTAAGCCATGTTCAGAAATCGTAGCAGTAGGATTAGAGTCACCAGAAGAAGCTACAGGCTCTTGAATTTGAACTTGAGCCTGAAATTGTGAAACCATTTGTTCAATCTGTTGTGGAGTAAAATCTTGTAAGTTGATATTGCTTCCACCATGAGTAACATGTGGCATATACTGAGGAACCAAAGATCCATAAGGAGTATTCATTTGCATAGGAACAAAACCATCAGAAGGATATGTTCCAGTTTCAGTGTATACATGAGCCACTGCATTCGCCTTTTGCATAGAGTTAGCATATGGCATCATTTGCATCTGAGGCTGTGACTGCATTTGCATCCTAGGTTGAAATGGCATCATAGGAACCCGTGGCTATAATTGAGGATTTCCCCTATAACCATAAGCAGAAGCAGGCACCTTATACCTTGGTGGATACCCAAGTATCTTGAAGCATTTTTGTATTGTATGTCTCATTTTCCCACAATGAGTACATATTGGTTTTGGAGGTGGTCTAGCTGTATAAGCTGCAACATAAGCATTTTCAGCTTCAGACATCATGGGAGCAACACTCTGAAAAGCCACATTATCAACCCGAGTAGTAGGTTTAACAATTCTCTGTCTTTCATCCTGAGTCACCATGTTAAAAGCTTCTTCTATAGTTGGGATAGGCTTAAGCATCAAGATGTGACGCCTAGTTTGATCAAAAGACTCATTCAAACCCATAAGAAACTTTGTAACCCTACTCTTCTGTTGCAATCTTTCCCATTTAGCAGCTGCATCACACTCACAGCGACCACATGTGCAAACAGGTAATTCTACATAATTCTTGTGTTCTTCCCACAAGGTTAGCAAAGCTGTATAATATGTAGATACATCCATTGAACCCTGCTCAATCTTACTAAGCTTCTGTTCTATATCAAATATCCTTGGAGCATCATCCTGCTTAAATCTAGATAACAGATTGTTCCAAATTCCTTGTGCAGTTGCTATGAAGAGTAAGCTTTGACCAATCTTTTTATCAACAGCATTCATCAACCAAGTAGAAACTATATCATTACACCTAGACCAAGCACCAAAATCTCTATGATCTTCAGGTGGTTTAAGAATCGTACCGTTGATGAATCCCAATTTATTTCTGACATTCAAAGCCATCAGAATCGAGCGACGCCAAGAATGAAAATCTGAAGCATTCGTAAGACGATCTGAAACAAGAATAAGTCCAGCATGATCGTTATTATGAAGATAATACGGATTCTCATACTGATCATAACGCGATGGTTGTTCACCAAGATTAGACGAAGGACGAGTTCCCGGAATCGTAGATGGAGGTACATAAGATCCCATTTTCAGTGTGAAAACGGAGAAATTACAAAGAAAGATGTTACGAAATTGTGAAAGAAAACAAGATTCGTTAACACCAGAGGTCAATCAAAAGAAAATGAAAAGCAGAACGGAAAAATTGATTCCGGCGAACACAAAAGAAGAAATCGCAAAGTGCGAGAATGATTAACAGAAGAAATTGAAGCTTTGCAAGAAGAAACTCATCTCCGACGAACACAAAGAAAGCGGAAGATCAGAATATTATGCTCTGATACCATATTAAACTCCGATGATCGGAGGTTCAAGATCGGAGAGAGAGGTTTATCATAACAGAAGAAACAAACTTTATTAATCTCATCAAAAGTATTGTTACAAAACTTAATCAGAAATGTAATCATAGTTGCGCTTATATACATATGATTACTAAAGATATTAAACCGAAATCTGGTTAACTTAAACCCGAGATAACCAGTATACTCAATACCTAGATTATTTCCACACATATTCTTCTGTTCTTAATCAAGCATAAAATTAAATGGAAACCAATTATTCAAACCTTATCTTGATAAAATATAATAGGCATATGGAGATTAATAACTAATTAAGGTCTTATCATGAAATAATAATAATAAAAGTTTTTTGTACAATTAATTTCTTACTAGCCATCACTTTGGAATTTTAGCATCTCGTAGATACACTTTGACACATTATGACATGATTATAAGCCGACGGCACATGCATCTAGCCAAGTTCTTATCCATTAACTTTGTTACGACTAAATTATGTAAGATACATTAAAATATTATAACTTTATAAGCTTGTTTTTCACATTCGTATAGCGATATTATAGTAATATTTTATACTTTAACAAGGATTGTGTAAAATTCAAATCTAACATGCCCAGTCTTAGAATAGGCAGCTTCTTATAATCATGCGTTTTTTAAAAAAAAAAGTATAAAACCGACAAGGAAACTAAGTCAAATTATAATTGCATAAAATTCTTCTGGTTAGTCATTTATTGAAAAGGAAAAGACCAAGAAAGTTTTATGCAATTATAGCGTGATTAACAATGGCGATTCATGACTCTCATATGTCAAAAACAAGTTTATAATATAGCATAAAAAGAAAAGGATTTTTATTCTATTATTTGGAAAACAAATCATATATCCCATTATCATGAGTATGAGTATAATCAAGATTATTGTGAACACCTAGTATTTTTGATTCATCATATCAACTAAGTACAGAAATACGTTTCATAAGTTCCCAAGCCGTAAAGAATTGTATTTGCTTTGATTAAAGGGACAACTGGGGCATAGATAAAAATGGAGAGTGTAATTAAGAAATCGACAAAAGTCGATTTTGTCGGAGACGAAAAAAAAAATAACGCTTCAAATGATCCTCGTTTTCAAAAGAATTACAGAAAAAACTGTTGATTTTTTTTACATGCGCGTGTGAGAGCGCTTTGACTTTTAGGAGAGAAAGAATGAACTGACAAACATTAAATGCTCAGCACGTGAACTGATGCTTACCAAACTAACAATAATTGTTGTTTTTTCGAATTGGAGCAATTTTAACACGCTACAAACATATATTCCACCATTTTAACATTTGTACACAAGTAACTACATAAATAGAGCGTTAAAAGTAATTATAGTTTTAAATGATTAGATCTATGTATTCATATATATATCGTTATTAACATTTTTATATATGTAAACACGTACATGGAGCATTATCACATTTTTATACATATAAACATGTAGATAAAAGGTTATTAACATTTGTATACATCTAAACACGTAGATAGAACGTCATTAACATTTGTATACATAAATCTACTTAGTTTTTTGGATATCCAACACCTATTGATGTGTTTGTTTTGATATTGAGCCGTAAGTCATTTGTCAGACGTAATGGACCATCTCTTGCAAAACACTTTTAGCGAGTAAAGTTAGTTTTGGGAGAAAAGTGGGTTAATGTTGTTTTTGTTATGAACTCCGACAAGAAAAAATGAAAAACTAATTAGATCTCAAAACCTTTGTCTTTTGGCCAATTATCTCTTGATTAAAATGGTTTATTGAATTGTATTTGCTTTGATTAAGATTGCGTAGGCATAACTTGCATTTGATGATTAACATAGAGAAAGATTATGTTATCCTTCCTTATTTCCATCGATTGTATGAATAAAAAGACAGCAAAAAATAAGTGAGATGACGTGGAAGTACAAGTGGACCACGTGTGTGAGAAAAGCAAAAACATCGAGTTTGATGATCCAAACTGTCAGAATCTGATTGGACGTACACATATCAAATGATATGTTTCTTTTTGCGTTCATGTGCATACCTTTTTAGCCACAAGATTCCCTAAATTTATTACGTGTGCAAACAAACAATCCTAAATCATTTGACACAGCAATTTAAGCTTGTCTTTTTCTCAATAAATCTCTTGAAAGCTCTATCTATATGGTTTGGCCCAGTATAACATTGATTGCATTTGCTTGCACACTATTGCTTTTGGATCTCTGCAAATTTCACTTTTATGAAAATGATTTTCAGTCATTTCTCAAAAATATAAATAAAACTTAAATTTTCCTAGAGATGACAAGTTGAAAGTTAAGTTGTTTCATTTATGAATCAATTTGTTGTATTTTGAACAAGAATGCTATGCACAGTAAAAAGCTAATACAGTTACAACACCAAATATATCAAGCGACCAAGAAGTTGATTCCAAAGCTAAAGCTCTCACATGTGGCCCTAAAGAGATGGTTAACTTACAAATCTGAGCTCACAATCGCCTTGACTTTGTCACCATGTGTCGGTTGCTTGACGCATAGCCAAACTTGCTGATGTCTGGTTTAAGAGAGAACCTTTTTTTTTGACAAAACCAAATAAAAGAAAACAAACAAATCTCTCTGAGATTATTGCATCAATCACCAAAAACTATTGAAGATATTATACTATGAGAGGTAAAAATGTTTACCCTTTGGACGGACAAGTGTTGCGGATATCTTTGAGAGGTGCACGCAGGCCGCTAGCACGAGAGCCAGTCCCAGAATATTTGAAAGATGATATAGCTGAGACAAATCTTTCCACTGATTTCTCTGCTATTTCTGAGTAATGCCCTATATGTGAAATGTTCGATCCAAACTTCTCAACATCATCGGTTTCAACTGGTGTTTCAGCATTGAGAACTTCACAGGATAGTACAGGAAAAAAAAACGTTTGAGTCAAAGATCCATTATAACACTTATACAGCAGATACAGGTATTTAGGGGGAAATAATTTCTATAATTACCGGGATCTGTTTCATCCATGCGCATGTGCTTGGAATTTTGATTTTCCTGAAATAATTAGAAAAGTTAATAAATGGCTTGAATAATGATACTATGATAGCATAAGCGGCAAAAAATGAACAGTGGCTAATAGAACAATTCTATTAACCTTCTGAAGATTTTCATCTAAGTCAAGCTTCCTCTTCCCTGTTGCAGCTCCATGAAAACTATTGATAGCAATGGAAGAGAGAGGTATAACATTCTCGGGAGTACTAAAGGCAGACGGGATTTCAACGGATGGATTCTGTTCTTCTTCATCGATCTGATGGTTTATCTTATGGATGTCTGTTGTTCTCTCAGCCACCTCATTCATGGCAGAGAAACTCGCTTCTTTAGCATCTTCATGATCGTTGTAGATTCGGTCGTGATGTAAACATGGGCTTGTTGTTGCTATAGCTCTGTGATTCTCTTCTCTTTTAGACGCGCTTGACATGTTAATCACAGATTTAACAGCCTTTCTCTGACCAATCACAGAGCAATCATTAAGACACGGGATCGGTTGTTTAAGACCTTTGTCCTCCTGCTTCTGCTTAAAATACTTGCTTCTTACTATAACCTTCAAACTATCTGTCTTCGGCCGTTCCACTTTCCGCTCGCCGTATTTATGATGAAGATGCTTGTGATTCTTTTCCATTGCATCTAAAAGATTGTGACGCGTAAAAGAAAAGTCAGGATAGTAAGTTTAGAGTATAAATTTGTTCAATCTTGAAAATAAATAAAAATTGTACCGTCATCGGGTGACTCTCTTTTCTCTGCAACTTTGCTAACACATGCATTTTCACCCTAAAGACACAAAGAGATTAGAGCTTGGGCTACAACTTCCAAGAACTAACATCTGGTTCTTCTAGTTGCTTACCAAGCTATAAACCGGGGATTCATTTGTTGTCTGACTTGAAAGAGCATCTATATCCGTTGCATTATCCTCAGGAGTACTTGGAGACTCATCAGTAGGGGTCAGAGACATTGGTGATATCCTAGGAGCCTTGAATTTTCTTTTAGCCTCAACAGATGCAAAGCCTTTCAGATGTTAAGTGAAGAACAAGTAGAATAGATCAAACATCGTCAGTTTGAACAGCTAATGAGACTCTTAAAGATATACAGGACATCTTAATCAAAACAAAAATCCGACAAAACCAAGTGAACTACGTTTCAAATGTAACAAACTACATTAAAATGAAATATATGGGATGCACCATTTAAGGATACAGAAGTACTTTGTGAGAAGGTTTTTCTGGACTGGCAAATCAAGCTTTTTCTTTACAGTTTCAGGTTTGAAACTTTTGGGGCGGGATATAACATCAACAGCCAATATAGGAGTAACACTCTCAGCCTATTCATTCAAGAAAACAAGACAACGAATCAAGAAGGGATCAAGCTGACCTAGAAATAGAAAAAAGTCGTTTAATATACCTGGAATGGCAACTGTGTGAAGGGATCAAGCTGGCCTAGTGCTATACCCTTAGCAATATGTTGTGGCATCGATGTGAATGACGTTAAGAAATCAATTAAATTTTCCTTAATCAATTTTGATAAATGGAGGCCTAATGTCAAAATACTTGTCTCAAAGGATATGGGCCTACAAAATCTGAATCTTCGCCAAGGTAGTCAGAAATGTCAGATAAGTGTATAATATCTTCAGTGTTTGGGTCATAGACACGTTGATGCTTGAAAGTCAGTAAAGCTCTCTTGAATGACTCTTCATAAAGAGGAGGAACTGAAACTGTGCTGTACTTTAAGTGCTTAATTACCTGAAAGCAAACTACCAACATATCACACAAGTAAACTCTTTTCCAAAACTGTGTATATAGGATTGATTCAGGAAAATCTAAAGCTAGTTTTGTAAGAATTGTGGTAAAGAATCCAGTTTTTGAAGTAATCTTGCTCTTGCTTTACCAAATTCCTTGCTGTAAGATAATATCAAGCCAGAAAAGAATGTATACCCTGTCATAGCTTTTGAACTTCGTAATGAGTGCATGAGCTCTTTTGAGTCCCATTCCTGGAAGTGACTGCAGATAATCGCAGCCACTTAATATGCACATTTCGAGAAGCATTTGGCTTGAAAATCCCGAAAGACTGAGATCCTTATTTTTGGGTAGCTTGGAGGCTTGAAACTCAACACCATGACCAAACTTGTCCATTTTAAAAATGATCTGTGACATAAAAATTAGCAGTTGAAGTCTTGATGGTAATACACTGGGATCGATAAGGAATTAACACTATATCTACCAGAAAAGAAGTAGAAATACTGATGAACTGCAAATATCTCATGCAAAGTGTAACAGAAAGCTTACTCTTGGGCAGCCAAAAGGTATGAGATCAGAATCCTCAGTGATAATCGCATCAACTTGCTTAGTAATAGCCAAGAATGTCATCTGCGCATCAGCCTCATACGGAGCAACAACGTAATCAACATTCTCCTGCCTCAGAACCTTCAATGGTAGAAAATCTTCAGTTCAAAGAGATGGAAAAGAAAGCAAGGAAAAATATAAATCCATTTATCTGGAGAGGAGTACAAGTTATCCAGCCTACTGTTACCTGTATCAATTCGTGTGCAATAGAAGGTGAAATGTCTACAGCCTTTGAATAGCACTCATAAGCAGCTGAGGAATTTCCATTTGCTTCATGTTCCAATGCACGTGCAAGATTTTCCTTTCTGGATCTGAACTTGATTGTTACAGAAAAGAAATGGACTTGGTGTTAAACTTGTTCAAATGATAACCAAGAAACAAAAATAAATTTGCATATTGTGCCTATATTATCTAGCCAATGATTACATACCTAGCACGCTTATTCTCTTGTTCTAGTTTCATCGGTAATGGACCTCCATCGAAGACCATGATAGGCTTCACTCCATGATGGCGGAGTAAATTCACTCTATGCATACAATATTGAATATGCCTGAAAGATTAAACACCAGTAAAACCCATTATCTTCTACAAAACCAGAACCAGAACAGTAACAAGAGAACACATCTTAAAGATTACTACTGTCAAATGTCCTTCCCTTACAATAACTGGACAAATGACAATTACGTCTTGGTTAGCAAACATGAATCAAGTGTAAACGAAATCTCTATCACATTATCCTTACAAGCCTAACATCCACAAGAGATAGAAACCAGAGTGCCCATCAAAAAATAACCAGAAAAAGCTTGAATTTTCAGAGTGTGCTTAACGAAATGGGACCATAAACTTCGAGACAAAGAAACCCACTTTCTAAATTGGGCAAAACCAAAATCAGTCGATCTAACATCTGGGATTCGTCAAGCAACTTGAGAGAAGGAAAAAAACGAACCTCTTGGTGGGTAATCCCTTACAGAGCTCTCGGCTACAAGATAAAGCACCTTTGTGTAGCCATGAATATGTATCAACGGCGACGATACAACCCTCAAGCTCCTTGATATGAATCGGTACCATTATCGATTTCAGCAACGGTAAAAGCCCTTGAATACCCATTTCCTCTCCTTCCTGTTCCAATACGATTCTCAAGGACGAGAATGAAGAAACCCTAATTTCGCCCTGACGAGAACATTTCAGGAGCCTGGACTGTATCGACGACAATCGAGGAGGGGTGTTTTCACAAATCTGGCGGGAAAATTCTATTAGGGATTTTGACCAAATTTTTTCGGTCCAAGGACTCTCGGAAGATTTTTCAATCGAAGATTATAATTTGTTTTTTATTCCAAAAAACATTTTAATTGGCCTGCCATTCTCTTAGGATACCTAAGCAAATCTCATAAACTTTTAGTGCAATTAACCAAAAAAAAACCACCATAGGTAATTTCACATAATTGAGAAATTGTGTACATTAAAATTTTTGTAAGAAAGAATGACAAATAAATTATGTAAAAAACTGTAATTTAACTAAAAAAATTTGTTGTGACAAAAACTTTTTGCAAATGGTTTTTAATTTTCCCTCAACAGCAGAGTTAATCTTAAACTCGATTCAATAGGAAAAAAAAGACGTACTGATTACATGATAATTTAATGCAGGCAGCCAGTCACAATTATGCAGATATTTATGATCTAAAATATTTTTTTTTTGCCAAATTTATCAAATATAATCCATTACTCGGGTCACAAATTTCAACTAAGAAAACTTATTTGTAACTACACTAAGAGATACTATGCTACCAAAAACAAAATACATAGTCAACATTATTTCCATTAAATTGGTCAAGATTTGTGTATGGTTGTGATAAGTGACTTAAAAAATTAATATTAACGGTTTAATTCCAACACTAATTCAGAAGAAAAAAAAATCTGAAACGAGTTAGGTAATTCAATTTAATCTAAAAATACAATCTATTTGGGAAATTAAAAACTAAAGAAGAAAGAGTTGTGTTAGATTTAACAATAAGATATGTTCTACATTTTTTTTGGATGCTATCAACTAACTATTGAGTTGCCTATACTTAAAAGTTGCATAGTCAATTATTATTATTATTATTATTATTATCTACTTAACATTTTTGAAGTACAAATTTGCTCAAAGCCAATCGGGTCGGGTTTTTTAAAAAATTTTGACCCGATTAGATTTTTTGACCCGACTCACTGGCCAATCAAAACTCTCGGATTCTTTTAAATGCGACTTTCCAAAAAAAAAATCAACTAATTCGACTAAATATCCTCTTAATTACATTCCTAATCTAACAAATCCTAACAATGGAATCTCTTCCACAAATTTTGACTATTATTATGTATAATCTATTTTGGTAAGATTTTTTCTACAAAAATAAACAACAATAATTACAACATTAATTATACGATTATAACAACTAAACATGGAATCCTAACAATATACTTTAATTTCTGACGATTTGTTTATCTCATTGTATCCCATTTATATGCTAAATATATTCTACAAATCTATTCAGTTTCCTAATAAAATTGAACAATATAATGTCTACATTCAATATACACAACATCAATTGGAAATGTCTAATAAATCAAACTATTTGTTCTTAATTTTGACGAAATATCTATAAAGCATATTCTATATATTATTGAATCAAAGATTTGTAAAGATATTCTATACTTTCTCAACACAAATTTCTTAAATTTTCTAACCTAAACGCCAAGAGACTATGACATCTATAAATATGTTTTCGCTAACAGAGAATTACACATCAGCACAAAGTTTACCTTTTAACACGATAAGAGAAGCATTTCCAGAAATCAATGGTTGCTTCATTTTCCAATCTCAGAGATTTGACATTTGAGACCTTACAAAGCCGCATGGTGCGTCCAAGTTTAAGAACCTGCATTCATGGACAATATACTGTCAAAAAAAGGGAGACACTTGATATGGTCTAGACTGATGAGAAAGTAAGTTTCCATGTACTAAGATTTGATTCTAAACCTTTTTCTTATCAACTAACTTGATATGTTGCATGTCTTAGGAAGCAAAGTGTTTTCTGGTCGAATCTAAGAATATAGAGGTAAGAGTTCGTATATCCTACTCTTTCAAACATTCTAAATATTCTTAATAAGTAAGAAATCTTAACTTGATGACCAGCTTTAATGCTGGTAGAAAAATATTTTTATCTACCACGTTTAATAGTTTCCAGTGGATGAAAATCTTTATATTCCAGAGGTGGAAGAATTCAAAACAATGTAAGCATCTGCACTAGAGGTTTGACTTATTTGTATCTCCAATTAAACTAATTTAGTTTGTCTCTTGATTCTAATTTGCAGGCTCCAAAGCAAAAAACTATCAGGAAGACTGATTGAAAAAAAAGAAATCAAAGAGAGAAGATCAAAAACGGTAGATAAAACGAAAAAATTGAGAAAGAAACCTTTTAGGAATGATTGATGATGATACGAGAAGCCATTGTTGTGCAATCGGAGCTGCTTTAGCCGATCCCAATTCGCAACTGCAAATGAAAACAAGAATGGTAGGAATTTCGTTAGGGTTTTTCTCCTTCCTTTCCCTTAGATATCTTCTTGTCGAAGAGTGGACTGTTTTATTTGTAACATTGTTGACATGGCTTGCATTGAACCCAAGTTAGGTCACTTCCCGTGTCAGCGATGGCAAGGACTTTCGACGGAGGAGTACCGATTGAGATACTCATGAAGTATTCGCCGCCATTTGAGATCAACCCGGATTGGAGGTCGGTTTTGGTATTGAAACGGCGAGAGCGTGAGATTGAGCGGAGGAAAGCAGCGTTGAGACCGTCGGAGACGGTGTGGTGAGGGTTGTAAAGTGGAGAATGAGGAGAGTCACTGTGGATTAGCTCAACGGTTAGGTTTTCCCTGTTAGCTGAAGAAGTGGAAGTGAAGAAGATGGTTTTTGATTATGGAATTGTCGAATTATCCTCAATTCAATTTTGAAACAGTAAATCTGTGGATGTAAGATATGATCCGATCTAGAACTCACCAATCGTTGAAGAAAAACAGAAAATCGCAGTCTACAAGTGAAGGATCACTTCGAAGAAGCTGGGATTCAATGATGAACACGACCGAGAGAAAGAGTCAAAGAGACGAAGATAATTTGTTTGATTGATTATGTTTTTAGAATTGACAAAATGCCTTACATGTACCAGATTGTGTCGTCTCAACATATTGTACCAACACCATTTTATACTGCCGGTTAAATCGCCTCCAACGAACTCTCCGCCACCGTCAAAGCTAGCGTCTTCCTCCATCTCTCTCTCGGAAATAACCATTAAAAAACAAGGGACATGACGATTGCCAAACGCATCGTTTAGTATTTGTTGGGCTACGCTTTGTGATTTACATGGGCCACTTCCCACTTTCCCATTTCTATTGTAAATACTAAATACAAGATTTGCATATTAAAAATCCTATATATTCATTTCTATGGTAAATGCAAATCGAAAAACCCTATATATTCACTTCAACTGACATTCCAACTTCAATAAGGTTTTTCTATTTATTTTTAATTATTTAAAAATTATAATTAAAATGTGGCATAATATTATTATTAAAATATTTATATATATAGTTATAATTTTATAATATGTTTTAATATCGGTGGTATATTATTTTTACGGGTTGGTCAAAAAATACATACTAATTTAAAAATATATATATATTATGGAAACCATTTGAAAGCAAACTTTTAAATTGAGTCAAATTATATGTCTTTTAAATACAAATATTATTAAAAAAAATAATAAAATGATGTTTAATTTCACAGGACGGGATTATATGGTGGGACGGGTTTGGGTCGATATTAATAGGAGACAATATACCACGGGTAAAATCTTAGAAATAATAAATCAAAATACAATTATACAATCTTAAACACAAAACAAAACAAATACAATTTAAAATTTTAATTTTTTAGTTACAGCATATATAATCCGCGGTGTACAATAAAAAATATTCTATATAACAAATTTATCAGTTTATAAATAGATTAAAAAAATCATTTAATTAACCCGCGGTGTACTGCGGGTCATATCCTAGTTATTATTATTAGGAAAAACTACCAAATCTACCACATTTCCCCTAATTCTTTCCAAATCTACCACATTTTCAACTTCCTTTCCAATTCTACCACATTTGATATGGAAGTTACTATTTTGTCTTCCCTTTCTCTCTTTCTCTTTATGTTTATTTTTTAATTTTTTTTGTTTTCTTTCTTTCTCTCACTCTTCTTCTCTCTCACATTATTTTTTTTTTCTCTCACTCATAGATATATATGTATATCTATGAAGTTTTATTCTTCTTTTTCTTCTCACATGATTTTTTCTCTCCTACAAAATCTAAATCTGGGTTTGAAAATAGTTTATCAATTATATAGTTTTGGTCCACGACGTTAAATCGGCTACACATTTAGATCTTGGTTTCTTCTTATATGAACTTGTCCCCGATCTAATTCTATTACTCATTTGATCTGAACTTGTCCTCGATTTAATTCTGGTACTCATTCGATATTACTCATTCAAAATCTAAATCTGGGTTTGAAAATAGTTTAACAATTATATAGTTTTGGTCCACGGCGTTAAATCGTTGAAAATAGAATTAGATAAATCTGGCTTTGATATTACTTGTCCTCGATCTAATTCTGGTACTCATTCGATATGAACTTGTCCCCAATCTAATTCTATTACTCATTCCATATGAACTTGTCCCCGATATGATTATATTACTCATTCGATCTGAACTTGTCCATGATCTACTTTTATTACTCATTCAATATGAACTTCTCCTTGATCTAATTCTATTACTTATTCGATATGAACTTATCCCCGATCTAATTCTATTACTCATTCGATCTGAACTTGTCTCCGATCTAATTATATTACTCATTCCATATGAATTTGTCCCCGATCTAATTCTATTACTCATTCCATATGAACTTGTCCTTCATCTAATTCTATTACTCATTCCATATGAACTTGTCCTTTATCTAATTCTATTACTCATTCGATATGAACTTGTCCCCGATCTAATTCTATTACTCATTCCATATGAACTTGTCCCTGATCTAGTTCTATTACCCATTCGATCTAAATTTATCCCCGAGCTTAATTTATTTTTCTCTTCATATGTCCCCGAGTATTTGTTGGATCTTGCTGAAGACCTTGAAGGATCTAACCCTACTCTATTAATATATTATTTAATTATAATTATAAGTAATTGTAAACGTACAACATTTATTGCAGCTTGGTCCCTATTCTCCAGCCAGTACCAACTTGTCCTTTTATCTGACACAGCCTTATATCACCATCAAGGGCAATTTTGTCCGTTATTTTGCATGTGGGAGAGAAATGTGGTAGATTTGGAAAGCTTTTTCAGAATGTGGTAGATTTGGAATGCCACATCTCTAAAAGTGGTAGATTTGGAAAGATTCCCTTATTATTATTATTATTATTATTATTATTATTATTATTATTATTATTATTATTATTATTATTATTATTATTATTATTATTATTATTATTATTATTATTATTATTATTATTATTATTATTATTATTATTATTATTATTATTATTATTATTATTATTATTATTATTATTATTATTATTATTATTATTATTATTATTATTATTATTATTATTATTATTATTATTATTATTATTATTATTATTATTATTATTATTATTATTATTATTATTATTATTATTATTATTATTATTATTATTATTATTATTATGTATTAGTTATTAGTTATTATTATTATTATTATTATTATTATTATTATTATTATCATCTATTATTATTATTATTATTATTCGGGACCGATCGAAGACCATACATCCCAATGTTATGGAACCTGGATTTTTAAATCTATAATTTGAAGTGTTGAATATGAAGAATCTTACCATTCTTTGATTTTATTTCTAGAGAAGATAAGCCATTAGAAAACATAAACAGAATAAGATAACCTTTTCACAAAAACAAAAGATATGGACCATATATCATATGGTGTACTAGTCCAAAAATCTATTAAAATGGCATGATCATTCTGTCGTTAAGCAACTTACCAATCAGAACAATGATTAACAAAAACGTGGAAAACCATTTTACCACACTTAACATTATACTTCCACATGCTTATGCTACTAACTAGACGTTGTACCAAGCTTGACATGTTAAATTATGCGTCAATAGTTTTAAACCAATTCTCTTATGACAGAATATAACATAGTTTAAAATAAAATAAAATAGTTTAAATCTGACTTAACACACAATGTTTTCTGACCCAACAAAAACAAAAACGATGTTCATCTTGACCTAAATATCCATTTCTCCATTTCTTGTCTTCCAAGGAAGGAGCCTGTGAGATAAGTAAATCCCAATTCTCTCATCATTTTACTGGCTCGATCATATTCGTCAAATACAACAGTGCGTCGCATCTGAAGAAAAAAAAAAAATCAACTCACATGAGAAACTTTTGTCAAGTATAATTATTATTTTATAATGAAATCAATTGAGAAAATGTTGATGATTCAACTAAACACCTGATCAAGTTTCAAACGAGCTTCGATTCTCGCCTTCTCAATGTTTCTCTTTCTCTGTTCCTGCAGATTCTGTTGAACATCTACGTTGTGATTCTCTGGCATCATCAGCAAATAAACATAAGTAGGTCTCGGTTCAGTTTCTTTACCTGAAACCACTGTTGTTGCAGATTCTCTTGAGCTTCTCTCCTCTGCCTCTCCATGTTCCTTTGTCTCGGTTTCTGAAGATCCTACCATAAATTTTTTTTGAAGAAAAAGCAAAGAGTTGAGTCAAAGGACTCAGGATCATAAGTGAATAAAACAAAGAACAAAATCAGGTTTTATTCATTTTCTTTACCCTCGCTCGCTTGGACAAGGCCAACTCCTTTCCATGGCGTCTTTGACATGTATTTTCAAATGTTTCTCTTGATGAACTCGCTCTCCAACCAGGACTTCTAGACTAAGAATCGAAATTTAAAAGAAAACGTTAAAAACCAAACAAAGAAAACTGTGTAAGAACTTAGTTTCTTTACCCTCTTCCGCATCTCAACATCTCTAGGTCTCTGTTGTAGCAGAATCTCTTGCGAGTCTTCGTCAGAGTCTTGGTGATCACGAAACTGACCCACTTCGTTTCTTCTAAATCCAGAGTCTTCTTTCTCCTGCGAAATCCGTATAAACTCTTGTTTCAGCAAAATAAGAGAGTAAGTTGTTGTTCTGTTTATCCTTACCCTCTTCTCTGGCCAGGATCTTGCCTCTGTTTTGTACCTCCTCCTCCCTGAATCATTCCTTCTCAAATCCGGAGTTCTACCCTGAGAATCAAAACATAAAAACGTTAAATCAAAATAATATGGTCATGGCTTCTCACCGTGGAGAAGAAACTCAGTTAAGTCTTTATCACATTTGAAGAAAATCGTTGCTACAAATAATATAGTATCCGCGATGAAATTACCTGACGCATAGGTTCTGCACCATCCCTTGGGTGATAAAATTGACAATTTGAGCCTCTCTTACAAGATCCTGCCTTAAAAAACTGCAACAAAATGCATATAGAAAAAGAAGTTGTTAAAGAAAACATCTTTACAAGAAAGTAAAGAACACGGTGAATCTTCCAAATCAAGTAAAGACTAAACCAGACAAGAGCAATATGTTATGCAATTCAATGCAGATTCTTGTTACATCTTTTGCTAAATTCTTCAATGCAGATTCTGATTACATCTTTTGCTAAATTCTTGTTACTTGAGGCTTAAGTCGAATGCATCACCGCAGAACAAAATCAAGGTTTTTACTCTCTATAATGCACTTATATCACAACAACCAATCGAATTAATCATATTTTGAGATAACAACTGAAATCCAAAAAAGTGTACCTTGCAATCCAGCTTATTACCAATCCTGTACGGAATCTCCTGCTTGTAGTAAAAGAAGATGTTTCAAAGTAATATGAAACGAGAAAAGTTGCAAATTATACTTAAGTCAAATAGATAGATAATGTTTTCCTTCTTACATGTAGAGGAGGATGATTGTAACAACAATCGCTTCCCCAGCCACACAGATGATTTTTTAGATAAAACGGACAATTTTCTTCACCGGGGCGAATTGGATACGCACTTAGCACCGGTTCGGATCTCCCCTGAGTTCTCTCCTCCAACATCATTGTGGATCCACTTCCTCTCGAATCAGGAGTTCTAGCCTGAGGTATCAAAGATTCAAAAGAAAACGTTAAATCAAACAAAGCATATTGTGTAAGAGTAAGACCTTAGTTTCTTTACCCTTTGCCATAATCTCGACTCTGTTTCATGGCTTCTCCTCTGCATCTCAACATTACTCACTCTCTGTTGTTGTCTCAGATAATATCGCGCGTCTGAGAATGCATCTGACTCTTGTTGATCAGGAATCTCACCCTCCTCGCTTATTCCAAAACTCAAGTCTTCTTTCTCCTGAAAAAATTCGTATTGACTCTCTTGTTTCATCATAATAATAAATAACAGAGTAAGTTTTGTTTAGATTCTTTACCATCTTCTCTGGCTCTTTTCCATGTCTCCTACCAGTTCTCTCATCAGATCTACCCCCTAATCCACTCGGCCTCAATTCCTGAGTTTGTCCCTGAGAATCAAGAGTAAAAGAAACGTTAGCCATATTTCTCGACTCTGTTTCATGAGATTGTAAGGACCAAACAAAATAAAACCCGAAACGTAAAATCAAATGAGAAATCACAGCAAGAACATCGTAAGTTGTTAGCAAAAAAATGGATCAGCACGTTAAGTTATTGTTCATTTTATTTTTTACCTTTGTTTCTTCCATGGATCTCGACTCTGTTCTTGCACAATAGCTTTTGTTATCAGTTTTTGAGCCTCCTCACTTGTCTTCTAATTGCTTATCTTCTCTAGAAATGAAATCAAATAATGGTTTGGTTCTTCACATTCAATTTGAATATCATGTTTCCATAACATTGATTAGTCGCGAGTAATAATAATAATAATAATAATAATTTCCATAACAATATTTGACTATGCAACTTTTTAGTATAGGCAACTCAGTAATTCGTTGACTGGCCTCCAAATGAGGGGGAAGCTCTCGAAACGAGGGCTCGAACCTCACTTGAGAGGAATTAATTTATTCGCTATGACCTCACCTCCAAACTAAACCCGGGTTCGAGCCTTACTTGAGAGGCATTAATTTACTCGCTATGACCTCAACCCGCAGAGATGTACGGTAATTGGCTCTATGGATCAAATGGAAGTTACCCTAATACAAGTATTTGATTTTTTGCGATCTATAAGATGTGTCCCTAGATACATCATGTACATGCATATTTAATGACGTTTCAATTTCACACGGAAAAAAGAAAAGTTTTTGCACCACTTGATTTATTTGAGTGATATTTTGGCGGGAAAAAATGTTTATAAGTGATGCTTTGGACTTTTTCTTTTTTCTTCCAACAGCTATTCTGTTACGGTTATAAAAAAAAGTATAACCAATAGCTGAGTTCCAATATACCTAAAATTATTCTGTAGTTGTGGTAGATGATAACGTAAGAAATTTAACTGCGAAGTTCCTTTTTCTTTATACCACTATGAAAATTACGAAATCATGTACATTTGAGTCAAACGCATTTTCACCAATTCTGATAGTTGAAAGTGAGAAAACGCTGATCACCTCAAACCCTAAATGTGCATCCTTTTACAGTAAAGATAGATCAGAAGCAAGCAACTAAAGGTCATGTTCTAATATGACTTCCCCTTCTAAGTCTTCTCTTTCTCCTCGGCGAAGCTGACAAGTAAAACTGTAAATCTCATACAGTATACCGACTTTTAGCATGACGATCAAGAGTCTTTGCATCCTCCTGAGAAAAATTTGGACAAGTCACAATAATGTACTTTAAGAGAACACTAAGATGTTGAATAAATAACAGAGAGGCCATAAATACATGAACTATGAATCCAATTTTCTCATTGTAACCAAGAAGTTCCTTCCACTGCTTCCCAATGCTTAGCTGCAATAACGCAGCCAACAAGATCAGTCCCAAAAGAAAAGCTTCATATAAACAAGATCCTGGCCATTTGTTAACTGAAACAAAGAAACCCAATTGCCACAAAATTAAGCCAATGAATGTATTTGGTATGAACAAAAACAAGGATTGAATTCTATGATCATGTAGTTTTTAATTATAGACGTCAGGAAATTCACTAACTACATGTCGTGTTACTGTTTCTTCAAGAACAAGCCTTTTTGATTACCACAGATATATATACATAACAACATCCATGTTTTACCTGAGCCTCCTCATTTGCAGCGTTCTTTGTCCATAGAGAGATCCTATCCCCTCTCGTTCTGAAGTTCAAAACTGTCCCACAAATCTCATCTCCTTGGTCAAATTGTTCACCAACCAACGCAAGTAGCTAAAACAAGGAGACAAGAAATATCACAAAAATGCATCAAACAACCATAATGGCCAAGGGAAAAACTACAATGAACTCCTGAAAAGTTACAACAAATACCGTGTTAAGCCAATTGGATTCTAGTGTAGCTGCTTTAGGGAAAAACATAGTCCACTTTCCTCCATTAGCACAGATAGGATCTTCCCATTTTGGTTCAATCTTATGTTTGAAGCAGTAGAGATCCGCCCCTGGAACCCACTTGGTTGGAGGATGAATGTTGTTGTAAAGACTGCATCAAGTAATCAACAAGCAGAGCTTTAAACTCATTCTGATGTATACTCCTAAGTAAAGACTACAAAACCTGAAGAAATCCAAGAAGCAACGGTGCTATCTAAGATCAAGGCACGAGAAGATTAGGCGAAATTTCATCCGTAACCATTAAACAAAAGAGATCGTAAGCAGAAATCACCAAATCCCTATTCTACTAGTTCTGCTTCAGAGCTTAGATTTTTTTCTCGGAAACCAAAGAAAACACCAATGAGATTAGCAAGAAATAGAGGTATATTCAAGATAATCTCACCTCCAGAACTCTTCGATAGTAGCGAATGTATACAAAGATCTCAAAGAGCTTCCCCATGTGACTTGATTCGATTTCGAGGAAGGATTATCGAACCAAAAGGTCCAAGAACTCTGGAAGAAGTGCGATTTCTGGATTACGGTGGTTGATTTCTTCAACGCGTAGTAGTCATTGCTCTTTTTCTCCATCGACGGACCTTCCTCGTCACCGGAGATAGCCTTAATCGCCGGAACATGCTTCTCTTGACGGCTAGGGTTCGTCGCGGTGTTAGGATCGATGTTCTGATCAGCCATTATCGCCGACGCCGAAGAATCCACAACCACCACCATTTCTGATATCTCTTTCTCTCTCGCTCGCTTGACAGTTACTTTGCCGTTCACTTTACTCCGCCGAGTCCGTTCCTAGTTGGTTCCTGATATAAAGCCCAGTATTGTTCCACTACTATAAATATGGCCCATTAAAGGCCCATACTCAAATGCGCGGGGTTACGTCATCTTATAAAATATGATCAATCTTACAAAATAAACAGAAATGTAAATTATACATTTTAACATAATAATAAACTTCCTAGTTAGTATATTTACATTCTTCCGAATCTTTCTTGATTCTTCAATAATCATGTATACATGATTTACATAATCTAGGTTACTCATCTCGACCGTTAGATGTCATCAATCTCTCAATACATTTAATACAAAAGAAACTTTATTACCAAGTAATTTATGACAATTGTTGTTATATATATGTGGGTATGCAAGTAGTCTAATAGAGGTATATACCACGCAGAGATCCTTAAAAAGTTCATTAGCTCCAATATTGTTTTTAGAGTTCAAGAAAGATGGGTTTCTTCTCGAAGCTTTTTAGTTGTTTCACGAAGCCATCTTCAAAGAAAGGTTCATGCAAGGGTGGTGTTTGTGTTATTAAGAAGCCTAAATAACTAGGATGAGTTTGCTACTATGTAGTAGTTGGGCAAAAAAGTTATTCTTATTATTGTTTTCTTTTCAATATCTATGTTTCGCTACTATGTTTTTTCTTATCTATTGGCAATTCGATTTGAAAAACAAACTTGTGACTCTTTACACCAAGAACAAAATATATATTTTTAGACTCTATTCTCTAAAAATATATATAAGTTTTAGAAAATATTGTAATGATTTGAAAAATATGTATAAATAGTTGGATTATACGACATCTGATGTAGAAACTAAATGATAGGAGCTTATATCAATAATTTAGCATACAATGTACTTAAAGAGATATAAGCAGTGTTCAAGAAATCGCTAGGCGCTAAGCGGGCGGTGATCCAGTGCCTAGCGCCTAGAACGCCTAATCGGAGCCTAGGCGATTTTTTAGGCGGTTTAGACGTTTATAACATAACACATTATAAATATGATATTATATATAAAAGTTATATAAAATATTTCTATAAAACTAAAAATTATGAAATTATAAACAAAAACTAAATAAAACATTTATTTATATTTATATTAAACAATATATGAATATTTATAACTATATATATAAATAAAACTCTAATTGAAACTAAAAAAAATACATTAAACAAGTTCTATGTAATTTTAGGCGGTCAAGGCGGTTATCTAGGCGTCGCATGAGAGCCTAGCGCCTAGTCGGGGCCTAGGCGACCGCCTAGACCGCTTTTTAGAACACTGGATATAAGCTTATAAGAGGACTTTAAATCATTAGAGCTAATATATATAGTTCAATCAGAGTCTTCCTCTTCCTCTTCTTCCTAATCCTTTGTGTGGTTTAAGATTGGGATTCTATTGTTTACAAGTCTTGGTATTTAGCACTTAATTTGCTGAATAAGTAAACTGAATATTCAAAACATATTGGGAGAATTATATGAAACTAAGGCTCTTTCTTCACAATCTCTTCAACAGCTTTCTTATATTCCTCCATCAGTTCCCTGCATGACACAAAGATTTAAGAAGACAATTATAAGTAAGAGCACCACATTCAATCTAATCAAATAAAGATGTTGTATAACAACTTGCTTACTTTCTTTGTTGAAGCAATTGCTCACTTTCTTCTAGATTTTGCTTTTGTCCATCAACATACTTGTAAAACAAGAAAACCAGTAAGCAAAAACCAAACAAACTTTGTTCTAATCCAAATATCCAAACTTTATTGTTATGTTCTACCTTATTAGTTTTAGATCCTAGGGATCTAGAAATCGAATTCAAAATCTGTTGACGCTTGTCGAAATGGCTACTCACTTCAGTCACCTGCAATTCAATTCAACATTCAAGAAACCCTAGAAATCCAAACAACCTTAAAAAGACCTTGGAAATAGAAAAACAAAGAAAACAAACCAGGGAATCAGAGTTGTGATCTCGTGTTCCAGCTTCAATCGCATCTGTTAAACTTTCCACCGACTGCGAATCCAAGACATTAACAAGGACGATGATATATTGATATTAGATCCCAAGGAGAAGAAATTGATTCATCAACTTTTTGTCTTTGTTTCTTACCGGATAGATATTAAAATGAGAAGCCAACAACTGGTGTTGCTGAGGAGTCTGCACAGACTGTTGTTGCTGCGTTGTATGGGATTGTGGCCTCTGCATCTCTTGTTGCTGATGAAACTGTAAAGTCGAAAACGATCGTCGAGGTCGATGTATAAGCAAGTGAACCTCTCTCTTGTGGCTATATATATATTAGAGATAAACATGAAGCTTTCATAATCCTAAAGAGATATATTAGACCCCTATATTTACGGGATATTGGCATATTCTAAAGAGATTTTTAAGTTATCTCGACTCTGTTGCACCCACTAGTATAGAAGAGGATCAGTTATGGTACCTGAAGATTGTCTTGAGCCACTGTCCCTTGCCTTTCAGTATTTATCTGTATTTGTTCTTGCGGATTATCGTGCCCTCGAATTTCCTACGATATTTGTTTGAAGAAAAACAAAGGACTCTTGAATCATGATCATTGAACAAAATAACAAGAAAGTCAATTTCTTTATTAATACCCCGTCCTCTAGATCTTCGAGTCTTTCTCTTGAATTAGGCTCTCCGGAATCCAGAATAGTTTTTGCCTGAGAAATGAATCCAAAAGTCTCTGTCAAATCAAGTAAAGACTAAACCATACAAGAGAATATTCCTATATCAAAGATTCTTGTTAGCTCTTAAAACAAGTTTTGTTACTTTTGCACCTTACAAATTGGGACACTAACCCTCTCAGGAAGCTCCTCTTAAGATATTCGAAAGCGGTAATAAGCCAAGAGAAAAATTTAGGGGTCAGCCAAACATAGGTCACTAAAAAATTTGTTTTAAGAGCTAAAAAATTTAGACTCAGCCAAACATAGGTCACCTTTTTTTTTTATTTCTCACCTTTGGAAGTTGAATAGGATGATTGTAACGGCAAAAGCGACACAGACCAGTTTCGACGTAAAACTGACAGTCTTTTACACTGGATATGGACTTGACTGCGTCATCCTCTCTAAAGATCATACCATCAACATTAACATCACATATCCAAACTTGAATCAACACAAATCCATACGATTCTTAAAGAGATCACAAATGATGATCATATGGATCTCTCTCAAAGATTACTAACTACCTTTGCTTTTATCGGAAGATGGAATCGACGACCCAATGGAGCTCGGTTTTTGTTCTTGAAGATTCTCATCTTCGTCTTTCTTCTCCTGAGAAAGTCGTTATCGACTCTGTTTTTCTCCGAAACAATCCGTAGTTAAAGAACAGAGCAAGTTCTTACAGTTTCTTGTTTACCTTGGGTTCTTCAATGGATCTCGACTCTATTTCATCGCTTCTTCTCTCAGCTTCTTGCTGATTCTCTCGAGCGTCTGCCATTAAAGTTGAGATTTTAAGTTCTCCTCGTATCAGTTTCTTTGGCTCTGTTTCATCAATGTCAAGAATCTTCTCTCTAATTCCGTTCTTTTGGCTTTATTTTCCGGCGGGAAACTGTTAGGACGTATTTTTCTTTATAATAGCTATTAATTATTTCTTTCGTCTAATTCTTCTTGTTTCGTTTCGATTCAACAGTTATTTTGTTAAAATATTTTGCATTAAGAGTTTCATCATTTGTTTAATCAAAATACACATTGCATTCCAAAACGATCAGTTTTATCAAATGAACTTATATAACTTTTCCACGTATAAAAATTAGGGAAGAAGAAAAAATAAATTTGAGCATACAAGAATATTGATGTGTAAATTTTTTATATGTTCAGAAATATTCATTTCTACTCAACTAACTTACATTCTAATGTAATTTATCTTTACCAACCATATTATAATTTTGCAAATGTTGAAAGCAACGAAAGCTTAACCAATATTCTCAACACATATAAGTTTCTTGCGGTCAAAGGAATCATCTGATAGTTCTCTTTCCCTCTTTTCTTAGCACTAGATGAATTCCCACTCTACGCGTGGGTTTGTTTTAAAAATTGTTAAGATAAAAATATGTTAATTGTTTTTATCGCTAATTTATGTTTATTTTTGTTTATTATTGTATAATTAATAAAATTAGACTCATAATAGTATTTGTGTTTGACAGTTGTTCTAAATACCACCACCTCAGTGATAATTCAAGTGAGTGTATATTCAATGTTGTGTATATCGATATTGTGAACTTGAGTTGTATCTGATGTTTTCATTTTTTAATTCCCGTGTAGGTTGTACATGATGATGGTTTTGTATCCTATTTATGTTCCTTGCTTCTTGGTAAACATTTACTGATGTTGTCTGAAACACATATAATCCGGTATAAGCAATGTCTGTTTGAGTATTTATAAAGTTTATAGTAGTGAAAGCTAGTAATCCCATAAACTGGGAGTGTGAATATATTTTAGTGAAATAATTTGTGCATATATTTAAAAGATAGTTACGGCTGCTTGTTCCTTGATTCAGGTCTGTGTAGCTTCTACTGTGGCCTCCATTCTGACAGTTAGAAGGTATAAAACGTTTATTCTAAAGAAATATGATGTACAGAAAGAGAGACTATGTTATTGGGTTTAGAAGCATTAAACCATCACTGAAATGGGTTCGACTCATTAATATTGCACTCTAATAGATTCTAAAACACATATGGCCCATCCGGCATGAACTATTTTGTTTACTCCATTTGACACTTATAATTAGAAGCTGATGTGTAAAAAATAAAACCTAAATCATATTAATGAAATGTTTTGATTGGAAGATTAGAAAACTGATGTGTCATCTCTAGAAGAGCCTAAAATGCTGACGTGGCAGAAAGATGAAGAGAGATAGTCTCCTTTCATATATATGATTAGACCATGCACACTGGTGATATATTATGAGTATCAGGAGCCCATAAACAATTTTTTAATGGACCAAACAATATATTTGGGCCTGATCCGTATCAGTCCACTGATACTTTTGATATCCAATATCATGTGACGTGGTATCTCCTGATTGGCCATGAAACGCGTTTTCACATTTTTTTTTTCTTTTTGAGTTTTTGTTTCTAATCTATTGCAGAAGAGAGGAAGATTGAGACGAAAATGGAGGATGTTGTGTTTGTATCGCTAGAATCGTTCGCTTAGCTCTCCGTCCAATAATTATTAAGTTTTATGAAATAAAATTTTTAAAAAAAATTTTTTCTAAGAGAATCCTACTAGAGAACCTACCATTGGACTAGAATTTTTTTTTAAAAAAAACAAAAGTTCTCATCTCACAAATCTCTAAAATTTATTTTCGATTTTGCAAATAAATTTTTTTTTATGATACTTAAACCGGTCTCACCAATGAAAACATATTTAGTACCAGTATCATAAAAAATCTCAAACAATAAACAAACATTAAAAGTAACTAGAATTTAACCCGCGGTACACCGCGTGACTATATTTTTTTAAAAAATGTAATGTTATTTTTTTAAAGATTAACTGAAGAGATATTATCTTAATTTATATTTTTAAATGTAGATATCTATCTATGTATTATTTAGTGTATGATTACTATTGTTTAGGTTTCAATTTTTGAAGTATAGATACGAAAGCATACATTTTTATAAGGGGAAAATCACATTTTTAACTCTCAAAGTGTCACTGGGTAGCACTTTAAACCTCGAAAGAATTCTTTTAACACTATAAACCACCAAAATAATTTTACTAACACTTTAAACCTCCAAACTAGTTTTCATGTTTGCACCACCATAAAATATGATGGAACAATTAATTTATGTTAGTTTAATATAAATTTATTTAATTTAATTTAAATTTTAATTAATTTTCTTATTTATTACGATTTTTTGATTATTAAGAAACGTCAAAACAAAAATAGATTCCTTTGATACGGAGAATGCTTCGTTTTCTGACAAAATTTTGACATTCTTTAGTTTTTATTATTCTATTCAAGCTTCTCTTGTACCTTATATTCTACATTATTTGGTTTATATTATTATTATACTATAAACTTCTCTTGTGCTTAAATCTAAAGTTTCAAAGATTGAATTTCGAAATTTCATGGTCGAACAGTGAGTAAACAAAGAAGGTGAAGTTTTTTTAGATTTTATTAATTGTATAATAAAATTAATTTAAATTAAAGTTTTTTTTGTTTTTATTAATTGTAATAAATAATAAAATTAATTTAAATTTAATTGAATTAAATAAATGTATACTAAACAAATAGAAATTAAATTTTCCATCATTTTTTATGGTGGGACAAACAGAAAAACTAGTTTGGATGTTTAAAGTGTTAGTTAAATTATCTTGGTGGTTTATAGTGCTAGTGAAATTCTTTCGAGGTTTAAAGTGTTACCCAGTAAAACTTTGAGGGTTAAAAATGTGTTTTTCCTTTTTTTATAAGTAACGAACTAACGATGTATGGTGAATTTTAAAATTTTGAATATTTTACTCTGCTGTATACCGTGGGTCAATTTTTTTGTAAATAAAAATTTTAAATTTTAAGTTGTATTTGTTTTGTTAATATTGAATTTTTTGGTTTGTGTTTAAGGTTGTATAATTATATTGATTGTTAATTTTAGGATTTCATCCGTGATATACCGTTCTTTATTAATATCGGCCCAAATCCGTCATCCCATATAAATCAGTCTATATTATCACGTTAGCTAAATTATTAGTGTTATAAAATCCAAGAAAATAAATTATTATTATTATTAAATCTAATAATTTTAGGATCTCACCCGTGGTATACCGTTCCTTGAATGATTTTAAATTTATACTACTAATATATATTTTGAATTAAACTAGTCTATATTATCCGTTAGCTAAATTATTAGTGTTATAAAATCTAAAAAAATAAATTATTATTATTATAAAATCCAATAATTTTAGGATCACCCATGGTATACCGTTCCTTGACTGATTTTAAATTTATACTACTAATATATATTTTAAATTTATCATATAAAGTATATGATTTTTGTATGTGAATATTTTGATTATTATAAATTAGTAGTTTTATTGCTATGCAAAATGTTAATAGAAATATTTGCTATAAATCGGTTTTATGCATATTTTGTGGAGTAAAATTCATGAATTTTTTTTTAAAGATATATGGAAAGATTGTGTAGAGATTTTTAGAAACAAATTAGGCAAAATATCGTTTGGTTAATATCTTTTAGTTAAATTTTGTAAAACTAAATAATAAATGTCAATGGCATGGACTCGTAAATAATATGGAACTCCAGGATTTATTTCATATTTGTACTTCAAAAATGTATATATAGATACTAAAAAATTGTTAATGATACTCTATGAGTACCAACTATGTGCATGCTCTTAGGATTTAGGCATTGCATCTTTAAGGAGTAAAATGACTGGGTTCCGACTTCGA